TGGTCTGTATTCAAGCTGAAAATATTACGTAAATTGTTTCTCTATATGAAATAGAAGGAAAAAAAAGTCTGAAACCCTTATGATAGAGTAAAAACAAATTTTTAAATGAGGTCAACTTTTTTTGCCCCCATCAGCACCCAGCATATCATCAGAATTTATATTCTTTATACTAAAATTTCTGGGAAACTATAGAATGCCACAAACCAGGATATTATATTTCTTATTTGTTTTTTGGAATATGGAAATATACATGCACGTATGTGCACATGTGTGTGTGCACACTTGCACAACCAATTGGTAATGGGCACACAGATGGTGTGGGGATGAAAGATTCTAAGCTGGATGTTTGTGGGTTTGGAGTTTGGGAAATAGCCTAAGAGATTAGGGTGGAGGTAGAAAGTTCCTCAAGGATCTTTATTCGTTATTGGAATCCCAAAATTCCATGAGCTTTAAAAATCATCTAGTGCAGTTATTCTAAAATCATGCTCTAAGGAAACCCAGGATGTCAAGAATATGCCTCAGTGATCTACAAACAAGTAAATGTCTGTCATACAAACAAACAAACAATAAAACCCTGTAAACTACCTAAAAATGTATTCATCACTTTTAACTATTTTTATATTTTAATGTTCAAAATTATCCATTTAGTCCAACTGTCTCATTTGACAGGTCAAGAAACTTAGAACAATCAAATAACCTACTCAAAGTCTCAAACTAGTTAGTGTATTGTTAGGATCATGTCTTAGTCTGAGTTCTTCTCAAAGCAAATCTCAAGACAGACTTGGGTTCAGGTAGCTTCTTTAAGAAGTGACCTTCAGAAATCTGAGTGAGAAAACCGGGAAAGTGAGATAAGGAAGAAAAAATATAATAAAGATACATGAATGAATGGACTACTAGTGTGGCAGCAAGGGCTCAGTCTTGCTGGGGAGCCTCCGAGAAACCTTGTGGAGTAGGCCTCTGAATTATCCCACTCAGGAATTGGACGACTGTGTTTCCATCCACTATGTCCCATTCCTCATGTATAGAGGGTTGCCCTTGGGGACCTTAACTCCCCTGCACTTCTGAGCCACAGAGTAAGCACCCATGGCTCTAGTGAAAGCCTCAGGTGAGTAGTGGAGAACCACTCTACTTGAGGTGAGAATCAGCATGCAGGAAACTGTTCATCACAGCTGCAGGTAAGCTCAGGTGGGCCCAGGTGCAACGGAGCAAGGTATCCACAGCATCCACAGCACTTGAACCCAGAGCGTCTTACTCCCAAGCCTGGTTTCACTGATGTAACACTAAAGAAATGTGTTTATACTGAAAAGCATTCTTCTATTCTTCATCAGGCACCTGCCTTCATGATGAGCTAGTTTCAAACACACAGCAACCTAAGCCACCACTACTTTTCAGGATGCCACAGAATAAGAGCCATTTCACATGTACCATATACAGATAAATTTACTCTATTTCAACTTCAGTCAGTTGAATGCTTCCCTAAAAGAGGGATCTAGGATTTCATCAAATGAAAGTGAACTAGATGATAACAGGGATCCAGCCAGGATTTTTCTTCCAAAGGAATATTGTTCTACGAGAAAGCCAAGGCAAAGGCATTCTGAGAGATTCCTAAGGAGTACACAGAGCTGAAAAGCTGATGTGAGTTGTGAATGAGTTTAGCCCATGAGTTGGACCTAAGGATGTAATAGAAAACATGCTGGTAAGCCACAATTATTAGGGATGAAAAAGTAAAGTAGAAGGCAGGGTGATCAGCTGAGAAGACTCCTAGTGATGAGAATGACACAGACAGCTGTCATTTCCTTTTCTCACTTTATTTAAGATACTGATTATTTTACCATGGTTGATGATGATGCCAAAATATAAGCACACAGACATTTTCCAGTCCCTGACCCACTAACAATTTTATATCTTCCCCTGCAGGATTTTGGAATACTTTTGATAATTAAAAGAAATCTTGGAAATGTATTCTATTTTCCACAGTGAATGGTTTAAAATAACATTTGGGTTTAAGTGAGCATAACGTTTTATTAATAGTACTCTGCTGACACTTAAATATTGTAGAGGAATGAGATTCATAAGATCCTCTTCTTCAATAATCTAAATCATTTTAGGTTATGCAAGATTCTTGTATTCTTAATAAATGTATATTTATGGTACTGTTATCCCCATATATAAATTTATTTTTGAATATCTGGACTCACCTGCACACCCACTGATAGAGTTTGGCTGTGTCCCCACCCAAATCTCAACTTGAATTGTAGCTCCCAGAATTCCCATGTGTTGTGGGAGGGATCCAGGGGAGGGTCGCTAACTTAGTTAAGTGCTTTTCTTATAGAACCCCTTCTTACTGAGCAATTGAATCATGGAGGCCAGTCTTTCCTGTGCAATGCTCATAATGGTGAATAAGTCTCATGAGATCTGATGGGTTTATCAGGGCTTTCCACTTTTGCTTCTTCCTCATTTTTCTCTTGCCACCACTATGTAAGAGGCGCCTTTTTCCTCTCACCATGATTCTGAGGCCTCTCCAGCCATGTGGAACTGTAAGTCCAATTAAACCTCTTTTCTTTCCCAGTTTCAGGTATGTCTTTATCAGCAGTGTGAAAATGGGCTGATACACCCACATAGCAAAAACTATCACAGAAGCTACAATGAGGAGAAATATTTACTCAATGCCAGGCAATGTACCATGAACTCTACGTATTTCCTGAATTCAAATAACTCATTGATATTATTTCCAACTCATTGAAACACATTGATCAGCAGCTTAAATATTAGAAGGCACAATGATAGACTCTGTAATAGATACAAAAATGGATCAGGAATAATCCATGTCCTCAAGGAAGCTATAGCCTAGTAGAACCAAAAATCACTTTAATATAAGATATAGTATGTTTTGTCATTAAAGCGTTGTAAGTAAATGGCATAGGAGTTCAACTATAAAACTTTGGTGATATGAAATGAGACCCTAATCCTGTGGTGGAGAGTGGTAAAGACAAAAGAAAAATCACATAAAGCCTTGGAAAACTTGCACCTACATTCAAAATTCTCTGCAGCTGTGAACTGATAAATTTGATTTGTTATCTGGAAGACTGCTTAAGTCCTGGCACTATGTGGCTTTACACCCTTGACTTTCTGTTTACCCCTCTAGTTCTATATCTTTCTTGTCTTTAGATTTCAAAAAATAAAAATATTAAGGTCTGAAGAACAGACTTGAGATAGGTCCAATTCCTTTTAGGTTCACAAATTATATCTTGTCTTCCTTAGCATAAGTCATGGAGAGCGCTTATCTAAGTTTGCTTCTTATCTAAAGAGGCACACACTCTGCACCAATAGACTGTATTCAGGAGCAGAGGTAGATAAAAATTATCTGTTTTGTTAAAGTACTACATGCCTAGAGTAATATTTATTTTGCATTCTTCTCCTATGAAAATTTTTCCTAAAGAAATACTCCAAATAGTTCAAATGAAAGGGATTTCAAAAATGCCAATTAATCAAACTGAAAGTTTCTTAAACTTTCTGGTGGAAAACAACTAAACAATATACACCTTTGAAAATGCTTTTCATAATGGGAAAGGAAATAAAACATGATAAGAATTAACATACAGTATACTAAGTATTTTTCATACATCACTTTTTCCAATCCCTATAGAAACCTTGTGAAATAGTTACTCTTATAAATACCATTGCACAAAAAGAGAAACTGAGGCTTCAAAAAAATAAGTCATTGGCAAATATTATGGGAAGTTGGGATTTGAGCCTGGATCTTGCTGATTCTAAGTTTGTAAACTTAACTGCTGCTAACAGTTTCAGAATTCATTCATGTGTTCTCGTTAGTAAGCTAGAAATAAGATCTGTGGTAATAGATACATATGCACAATATTAATTTGTATCTCAATGAACATGATTATTCGATCAAAACATGATGCCACCTTAATCATAAACCATGTTTTGTTGGTTTAATTAACATTCATGTGGAGTAATTGATCCTGAAAATTACTTTAGTAAGGCTTTATAGTAAATGTTTTTCTATAATTCCTATAGAGAGAAGGGGAAATCAGTGACAGAAAATATGTAACCTGAAATATTTTGGGGCTAATAGCACTATTTTTCCCATATAAATGCCAATGACTTCATGTTTATACTAAGAGTGCAAATAATCAGAAAATCCAGCGACCCACCATGATTCATTTCTTAACCTGCAAGCACTTTGCCAATGTGCACCTAAAAGTTCTCCACAATGTGAATAAGAACATCTTGCAGTTACTACCTTGTATAGAGATCACGTATACAGAAACTGCTACTCAAATATTATCAAAATACTGTCTTTGTCCTTTGATCACACACACCCCACCCAGCATACCCACAACTAAACAGAATACTTCATTAGAGGAGACACATGAGTTCTGTTCAAAATCTCAGCAAAAGCTGGTCAACTAATTTTTAGAAAATTCACTATGAAATCAAAAAGACTTATCCAAAGAGCTGAGATGTTACACCCATTCCATTACGGCACAATGCTACGTCATGAACATGGGCTGATAAATCACTGGTGAGTTAAATGGCAACGCTTCATTCAGGAGGCTGTTCTGCTTTACACATCTGAAAACTACTTAGCAAGTGTCTACATCTCGTAACTACAGAAGCTACAGTCTTCTGAAAGACGAAGGTCTTTACACAGTTTAATACTCGGTGTTCTTGGCACAACAATGCAGTGTAGTTCAGAAGGTATTTTGGCAACTCTTAATCTGAGCAAGAATATGGCTTTTGAAAAATAAGATTTTAAGAAAGTTTGTCATTTTAGGTCTAAATTTGAATATAATATGACTCTGAACTCTTACATTTAGAACAAACAAAACCTTAAAATTACTAATTGGTTCAAAATGGTTTTATGGAGAAATTAATCTGTAACAAAAAGTTGGCATTGAGTGTGAAGGCTCCACCTTTTTTAAAGCAAAGTGTACAAGATTCAAAGGGACAGGACCAAGAACAAGGGGCTCAGACATTTACAACAGCAAGCATTTTCTCTTCCTCTTCTTCACGGGAGGTGGGCAGAGGACTGCTTGAATCTCTTCGTCTAACACTGTTGAGGCCTCACTGTGTGAACGCCGAGCACTCCAGGTATTTTTCAGCACCAGTCTCCTTAGCTATAGCTAGACCCTGCAGATAGGTGATGGGAGTCAGCTTCTTCTTCAGTTTCTCGATCGTGTCTTTATCATCCCTAAGTTCAAATTTAGTTCCCACTAGGATGATGGGAGTGTTGGGACAGTGGTGCCGCACCTCAGGATACCACTTTGCACGGACATTTTCAAATGATGCAGGACTCACAAGGGAAAAGCAAATTAAGAACACATCTGTTTGAGGATAGGATAGGGGGCATGATCTGTCATAATCTTCTTGAGCAGCTGTATCCCATAAGCCCAGATTCACTGGTTTTCTATCTACCATAACATTGGCAGAATAATTGTCAAAGACAGTAGGGATATATTCTTCAGGAAATGCATTGGTTGTGTAACTGATCAGTAGGCAAGTTTCACCTACAGCTCCGTCTCCCACCACCACACCCCTGATGGCCTGCATCTGAGCCACTCGCTCAGCCATGGGGGCAGCAGCAGGGCTCTGAGACCAGAAGCGGTGGGTACAAGGAATAAAAGTGTCAAAGGTAAAAACTCTAAAACATTAATTTCTATCAAATGCAGTGGATGATGAAAGAAAGGTTGGTATTATCAGGAAGTGTTTTCTTAAGCTTTTCCTTTTTCTTACACCAGTCATCCCTCCCCAAATTGGGCATTTAATTCATCTTTAAACTGGTTGTTCTCTTAGTCTCTAACTTAGTAAGTGCTTTTCTTATAGAACCTCTTCTTACTGAGCAATATGCCTTCTTGTATTATAAAATATTTCTCATAATGCATTAGAAGAATTTTTTTGTAGATTAGTAAAAGTGCTTTCCATGTTACTTTATTCAAAGCTATTAAGTGCTTTCCTTAGTTTTCTAGTAACTAGGTGTAAAAATCATGTGTTGCAGTTTTATGGTTTTTAAAATATGTTAGATATTTCTTAAACTATGAACCTTCTTAACATCACTGACTTGTCAGATTACCCACACTGTCACTTGACCAATACTGACCCTCTTTACCTCACCCATGTGGACACATGCCTCCTGTAGTTACTTAGTCTAATGATGTTCCTTTGGGTCTGTGAGGTTCTGTAAACTGTGCTGGTGTTGACGATCTTCTGTACAACTTAACTCACTGGCAAGAATACAAAGTTGGACCTTTCAACCACTAGAACAAAAATTTTTAAATTGACAGTTACAGAATTGTGGAGTGTTTTTACATTGATCTTTTGCTAATACAATTAGCAGTATGTTTTGCATGTATGACTAATAAATCCTTGAATCATTAAAAAAACCTGCTACTCAAATATTTTGAGCTGCTTTGTGAAGAAATGTCCAACTTAAGGTAGAATGTTAATATCAAAAAATACTAAAAAAGTAGAAGAGTTATTGATTACAAAAAAATACAGTAAGTTCCTTCAAAGAAAGAGTATTGAAGCACAATGTTCAACCCTTAACAAATATGCTTTTTAAATTTAAGTTCAGGAGGGTGTGTGTGTGTGTGTGTGTGTGCGCGCGCACACAAGTGCCTGTGCACACACTTTCTTATTTCATTTAAGTGTGATATTCAAAACATTTAGTAACTGGCAGGGCACAGATACCAACCAAGTTAAATAGAGCCCCCTCTTGTAACAGGGGCTCTAGAGGGCCTTGCTTTGCTAGGTGTTACCAATTTAATGGTGGAATGAAGAACAGAGAAGGGTTGGGGGTCCTATGGGGGATGTCTGAGCTGGTTGAGCTGGAATGGTTGGGTCAGCAAGGAGCTACTCAAGGAGTTGGAGCAGCAGCTCTTTATAATTACTGAAATATTTTCACCACCAGTAGGGCAACAGTGGTGTGTACCAACCAGACATTATCAGCTGAGGCTACTGAAAAATAACATAATATACACAAACTAATATGGATACTAGAAAACAGCATTTTAAGCATATTTTATATTGGGAACTTTGATCAAACAGATACCAACAAATTAAAGCGTATTATTACGATGATGCAATTCTAACTTCATATTTGCCCATTTTTCTACCTGCCACCAGCTTACCCTCTCCATACACAAACTAACGGGCCTTCTCAGATATATTTAGGACAGTTGACTAAGGACATCAAGAGCTGAGAATCAAAATTTGAACTCAAGGCCTCCCAACTTGTGGTGAAAGCAGCAAATCCCAGAAACATGGATATATTTTCTGATGCTGATATATCTCTATTAATTATCCAGGATACCCCATCCACTCCATCTCTGTCCTGTAACACTATAAAGGAGCAGTGAGTCTATTTTCTTCTCCTTCTACCTCGTTTGCCTAACAGTACATCCCACAAAAGCACAGATTTCTTATGGTTTTCCCCAAGTGCTGTACACTTAGAGAAAAGGCATATATGGCCACCTTCTCACACCTTCACTCACCAATCACTGGTCATCTATGTCCCTGAATGCAGATGGAGCCTAAGGAGAAGGAAAGATGCTTAGTTGCACAAATGTGCATCTGAAAAAACTGTAAACCATGAAACTATTCATCCCCAGGTAATGTTTACAGAAAGCATAACCCTTCCCTTTCAGTTTGCTATTATATTGCTCAGGGAATGGAATAAATAGCTCATTTTCTATCTCATGTTTTCACTCTCTTATTTGTGTCCTGGGGATTTGAGTTGTTTTCCTACCATAAGAGGTACCTGTTTCTAATTTTAATAATTTCAGATTCTATGATTGATATATATAGCAAAAGAATAAATGGAGAAGATTCAAAAGTGTCTCAAACAATCACGTCAGACTCCTACCAATGGCCGTGTTGTCAATTGTTAGAATCAGCGACTGTTCTCAGGTTTCTCGGCTTTTTTGGAGATCGCGAAACATGGATGATTAACAGCTGTGTTGATCACAATTGCTAGTATACATTAGCATTTCCACAGAACTTCCATAAAATGAGTTAACAGCTTGTATGCTACAGACCTATTATACAGTACAAGAACAAAGCACATATTTATGCATATGCACGTGTGTGCGTGCAGGCATGTGTGTACACACACACGCGTGTATGCACACACACACACGCACAAAAACCATTTGGGTGCAGAGGGGCAGAATTGTAAACACTGCTGAAGAATTTATTGGTTACAGGTCAAAGGAGATCTGAGAAACCCAACCCAAACAAAATGTAATCATATGGATCACATCCTCCTTCAAAATATTAAAACATTAGGATTCTCTTTACTTGCTCCTACATGTTGGTTCTCTGATACCTTATCATGACCCAGTAAAACACCACAATAAGGAAGCAGTCAGGGAAAACAAGAAGGTAATGGAAACTGCAGAAAGGCTTTGTAGAATTAAAAACATTAGGAGTCATGGTAGTAGGGCATGAATCTTCCTGGAATTAACAATCCTGTCTATCATAAAGGTAATCTTTTACTGTTGCTCATAAAATGAGGATAACAATGCCTCCAAGATTATAACCGCCCAAGTCTGCAGTGAGCACAACATGCAAACGCTATCTTTGGGGTCCCTGAATGCCTGGACACATGAAGATCTTCACTGACAGCTACTGAGCTGCTTTCGGTTTTGTTTTCTAAATTCACTGCCATTTATGGACAGAACACATTACTGACATAATGTCAAAGTGACGAAAACAGAGGAAAAAAAGCAACAGTGGTTGTTTCGAGGAGTCGTGAGGCTGGGACAGTTGTCGTCTGCTGGGAAGACAGATGAGTGGCCACAGGCTGCAGCACTGGATGTGAAGCTAGTCTGCACAGTGCTCAGAGCCAACAGCACCGATGCCGCCGCTTGCCCTTCACTCCCCAGATTAAACCGTAGCCTCATCGCAACGATGTCTGAATCTGCCCTTCCCATCTCCTCTGCCAAGTTATTCTATGCTGAGATTACCTGCTGTGTCTACCTCATTACCAGTTATTACAAATCTGTGTACCTATTACCATTTCTCCTGCTGCTTACTAGCTAAATTACCGTGCACATGGAATAGATAACTTTGTACTCTGCTGAGCATGCTGACAGTCCTCTAGAAGTGAAATTCTGTTTACAAGAGTTCACCAGAGATTTAATCTGATTCACTTCAGGTCATATTTGCATCTAGAGATGTTTGCTTTCCCTATTCCGGGTTCACATTCCGAGCTCATTACTGAGCCCTCAGCACCGCTGGTCAGGAGTAGGACAGTCCCCACTGTAAAGGGGCTCCTCTGGATGAAAGGGAAGTTACATTCCAATAGTCATCTCTCTTTCCAGGTTACCTGTTTCCTGATATCCACTCAATAGGCCAAATAAACATGACTGAAGTAAGTAAACCTTAAACCAGAGGTAACTTCAAAAACAGGTGAGAAATAAAGCATTTATTTGTTCTGTGTTAGTGAATGTGTATCTGATCAGCCCCAGAGCGTGGGCTGTGAGAGATGGGTATGGAAGTAGCAGTGCAATTTACTGCGTTAAACAGACTGCTTTCCAAACTCTGCAATGGACAATTTAGTCTAAACCACCGTGCGAAGTGCAGATAATAAAAACAGGAAACCTGGGACCTCCAGTGGAACTAATCTTTGTGAAATAGTCAGCCTTATGAAACCATAAAAAGCAAAGCCACTTTACCATATTATTTATTCCATGCTAGCATCTTCTGGATAAAAAAAAAAAAAAAAGAGTGAAGAGGGAAAGGGAGAAACAAGCATGTTATAGCTATTTAGGTCAAAATTTTAAACATTTTTGTTTAAATGTGTGTGTGCTCCTTGCAAAGCTTCACTCAGAAGCCTTACTATCTTTGGGTTCTCCTCGCCATTTAACTATAACATCACAAATATTGTTTGTCTATTAGGCCATTTTTTGCACATATTATATAAAAAGTTAGGTTTTAATGTTTAAAATAATTTTTGGTATTTCTTACACTGGGTAATATCCTTAAAATCAATAATTATAACCAATATTCTCAATGAGAGTGGAAAATAATTTTGACCAGAAAAGTGGTCATTTGCAGTCATGGATAGAGTGGATAGAGTACACTAAGTCTAATATACATCCACATTTGTTTTACTACTAGTGTCAGGATTTTTCCAGGATAGTTCTTTTCTCAAATATTTCTTATTCAAGTCTAAACAATAATGTGATCTTATACAATGTAAGCATCACAAAGACAAGAATGCTCTATCCCCATTAGAGTACATGGCACAAATCTAATGTATAGTAAATTTGAGGAAATGATAGAAATGTAACTCAAAATGAAATCTAATACAGCATATTCTTTCACTTCTTCTCAGGCCTCAAAATAAATCTTTCACTGCCAAAGGGTTAAAGCAGGACTGTGTTATTCCCAGTCACTAATTAAAACCAAGTGGCAGAAACAGTACAGTGGTTTTACCCATTTATTATGAACCCACTTAAAATTCAATTAAATGGAAACAGGAAAATACTGTGGTAGAGACCACAGGTTCTCAGTGTGACCTTTTCAACTCACCTGGCTTTCATTGTAATATTATTAG